CCAGCCAGTATATATGTTCCCCTGTGTGTGTCATTTGCTAGGTCAGTTGGTTTTGTTGAGACAGTTCAGTTTGCTGTATTTTGAGTTTCCTTATCTTTTGTTGGCCTCTTTTAGGGCCCAGTTTATTTGATGTTAATTTTGTATTTTTCTTGCTTTTGGGTTAATAAAAACCCTTTATTTTGAACTTTGGAAGCTGTGTCTTTTGCCTTACTGCTTGGTCCCTGACAGGCACATATTCCTTTTTTTTTTTTTATTAAAATTTAAAATTGTGGAAATTATGTAAAATTGCGTTTTTATGTAAATAGAATCATACAGTAGGAAACTTTTTAATCCCTAATCAAGCAAAAACCTTGTTCCTGTACAGAGATAACAGAATGAAATGAAAGAACAAGCATCTGTCTTTACTTTTTAGCAGAGCTGCTTCTGCAAGAAACACTGTAATAACCATGACAGATGTCTCTGGGGAGGAGTCATCAAGACATTCATTGTCTATGTCAATGTTAAACACCATTTATAGCGCTGTTTGTTTTGTAGAATCACAGAGTTGTTGGGCACTGCGTGTTAGTGAGTTGATGAGAAAATTAGTCTGGCATCTACATCCGAGTTTAATTTGGTTGTTGGAGATCACATTTGCTTGAGGTCGTGAGCTGCAGATGAGTTGCTCAGGTGTGGCATTTGGAGAGGAGCCCTGGCATTTTTCCAACAGAGCTGCTTATTGCACTTTTTTCCTCCTGGGGAGAGTTCTGCCATCTAAGAGGTATACGTCTGATCACATTAGATGGTTAAAGAGTGACGTCTACTTCGGCCTCTGTGATCTCTTCATTATCTCTGTTAAATCTCAAGCTTCTTTCTTGTGCCATCTTTCATTACTGGAACTAGCATAGTTTAAGCTTGTTAAATTGGTTACAGACAAAATAAATCTCAAGCCATGATGGAAATTCCAATATAATCTGAGGTTTCATGTCCGGCCAGGATCCAATATCAAGTCTAACGTGAAAAAATTTGATAAGCTCTTCAAATGATTGTACTCAAACGTTTTTAAAATCACTGTATCAAATCTTCTTTACTTACTTCTCTCCTTTACTTCTGATCTAAGCCTGAACTGAACTGTGCCTGACTAGACCTGAATTGAGAAGATCGATACTACTCCAACATCGATACGACTAATATAAGCTACGGCCATGAGATCAGGTCAGTTAAGGTCAGAGACTGGAAACAGGGGCAGTATTGTGGTCAGTGACAGGCAGCCAGCAGAGATTCTAGGAAGTTAGACAGTCTAGCACAACACCCTGCAAAATCACAACACATTTTTCTACTTTTGTATGATCAGATAAACAAGACAGAAAATGTGAACAAGTGAGCTTTAGACACAGCTGCTGATAGGAGCACAGGCCGGAGGACTCAAAGACAGACACACACAGCAGGCAGGCGGTTTTTTTTAGAAACTACAAAGAATGTAAAAGCTTGCAGGTAAGCAGGTGCAGGAACAGGTAGGCTGGAAACAGCAAGAGTGTTGAGAATGAAGTGCAAATCTACAAAACATGCACATGAACATGCACATGCACATGCACATGCACACACACACACACACACATGCACACGCACACACACAGAGCGACCTGGCAGATGACTGGGGGCTTATATATGCACTGAGACAGATTGGAAATGTAAGCAGGTGGGTGTGAGGAGGCAGATGACAGAGACAGGGAACTGAAACAGGGAGGAAAGTTTGGGGATGTCTGGTGAGTGGCTGAGACTGATAGGAGACAGAGGCAGAATGGCCTAAACAAAACGGGCTGAGAAAGGAATCGAGACAGAGATACTGTTGGTTAAACTTGGCTACAGCTTGGAGATCCAGGCTAGCTGTGTCCCCTGCTTCCAGTCTTTATGCTAAGCTAAGATAACCACCTCCTGCCTCCAGCTTCATATTCAGTGTACAGTCACAAAATTGGTGGGAATCTACTCATCTAACTTTTGGCAGGAAATGGAACAGGCAGTCTGTCCTAAAATAGCAAGATACTCCTTAAATGTCCTCTGGCTTAAATTGAATTTGATTATATTTTTTTACTTAACTCTGCCAGTCTCTTTTGTTTTTTTAGATTATTACCTTTCCCTCATCGATTATCACATGCTTTTAAATTAAAGTATTTTATTGTGTAGTTAGTAATTTTCAAAACTGAAGTTTAAGTTACGTACTGCTTCGACAATCTTTCCCTTTACTGCACCTTCATTTCGCACCTCATTTATGTGTTGATAATTAATTTGAATTAAACAAAACTTTACACTTCATGTTTTAATAAAAAAAAAAAGTACTTTGTTCTGACCTTAAAAAGCTGTAAACAATAAGCAGGAGTCTAGAATCTACTGTTACAGATGGGTACAGCAAATGATTAGAGTTACCATTCAGTCTGACAAACAGTAAATATTTAGTGGGCTTGGTCCAGATTTGACCCAATCAACACTCACCTTGCCAGGCTGCTGTTGGCGGAGCTCTCTGCGATCTGCGAGCTGGCGATCCACTTGGTCTCGCCCACCACTGTCCTGGAGTGAGGCAGGCGCCCCACATCTTTCACCGTCATCATCAGGTGCTGTGACGACTTCAGGACCCTGACAGCTTCGTCATGCGGGATGCTCAGGAAGCTGCGACCGTTCACCTCCAAGATCTGGTCCCCGACCTGCAGGGAGGGAAGGGAACAGAGAGGCGTAGCAGCGGGGACTGAACAAAGAGGTGAGGGTGAACCAAGCAGAGACTGTCACATGCACGGCAGCGGGGACTGAACAAGGAGGCGAGGATGAACCAAGCAGAGACTGTCACATGCACAGGTTCATAGGTCAAAGGTCAGAGAGAGGTAATGCAACAGATAGAGGTGGTGGAGGGTACAGTATAGAATGTTTAATGGATCAGAGCGAGACAGTTACGTTGTAGGTTTCTGGTTAAAAGTTGTAGCTGAGCAGTGAACAGAAATAATTACACAGAGATTAAAGTATTCTCTGTTCACTGACAGGTTCGAGATCAAGGCTGTTTATTATCTAACGGAAAAAGATTTTTACATTACTTTACATTCAGGCAACATGCTGACAGCTGTAGGAGAATGCTGATGTCCATGCTAAACACCACCTCTTACCGTACCCTCCTGTCTCCTATAATGAGATGATGTATTGTAGCTTTAACCTTCAGCTCAGCCATCTGAGGTGTATCAGGGCCCCTCATCTGTGCTGAAGCACAGATCTCTTTCTCAAACCGTGCTTTTCCTACGCTCTTGATCGATGCATCTGCCTCGCATGGCTTAATCTCACTGCTATCAGTCACAACTCGGACATACTCTGTGCACCACTGCAAATATTTCTGCAAACTCGACAGTGAACTGGTCAGTCATCGATCTTGCCTCAGATAGATTTGCTTAGCTGCTCACTCTCACATACATGTGGTCTCAGCCACTGTGGATACATGCTGCTCTCCCTCTATTTTTTGCTACTTTCATATCCCTATGTGATGATTTATGCCTGGGGGACTTTTGTCCCCATAAGGATGTGAAGTCCGAACAGTGGGACTGTGTAAATGGATATATGTCCCCACAACAGAAGTAGTAGCAGGACAACCAACACCCCCCAACACATCTGAATATAGCCTCGCCAATCTACCAAGAATTTCCTAATTTTTGCTTGGTGTTTGTTATACTCAGACAGTACTGGCTGTGCGGATGGTACTTTTAGTGTATAGACCCTGTGATTTTTTTTTAAATGACTTGTGATTATCGATATTTGTGCTAATTTTATCTGAATTCAGACTGCCTTCAATATTATCCACTTACCTTTATGACATTGTTATCCCATTGGTTGTAATAACTGCATTTAAATGCTAGTAATTTTACTAGAATTCCCATATTTGGATTATGTTAATTATAAATAAAATTCCAAAGTTTGTGGTTAATCATTATGAGACTGATCTGAGCACCCAGTTGCACCTACATTATATTGGTGCCCCAAGAAATGCTTTTTACTGCACTTACAGTGCCTTACACTGACTTTTGTCAGTTTATCTGTGAGCATGACTGTGGAATTAATTAGTCACAGAGGACAGACTCATCACTCTTTACAAAACAGCACAGGCTCTCTGTTCTTGGAATTGACTGTGTTTGGCATTTGGACTTGATGCTGTGTTTAACATTTTGCAAAAGTCCCCAAATGTCACTTTATGTCTTTTACTTTTATTCCCATCACACTCTGGTCCGCCCACCAAACCGAATCTCTTGGGTGTTGTCCAGCCCACACTGTATCCGGCACCGTTAACACAAAGCAGCACCCTACACCACAAAAGGCAGCTGAGGACATTTTCCAAATAAGCCTTCACCTTTATTAGGTCTTATAATGGCACAATTTGTGATACTTTGTAGTAGCACAATTCAACAGCAAATAAGGGACACAAAATTAAAACTGTATTTACAAATCTAATCAATCAGCTCTAGCAAGTGAGTGAGCAATGAGCGCATGCCTGCTGCCACAGCAAGCACTTACTTGTGTTGTCAGGTTGAGGTGAATCCCCAGGAATGAGATGGATTTTAAGACAGATTACAAGCCATTTGTTCCTTCAGTCTGCAGTTTTGTTTTTGATTAATGCCCTGACACATTAACAAATTAAACGATGGAATACTCTCTTTGGCCCACCTGTACACTGTAGTCTCATACCGTAGGTCTTTTTTACAGAAAAACTTTAGGATCCTTGGATTGTACATGCTGGCTGTTACACTGCCAGTACTTGCTGGAACAAATAGAGCATTAGCAACACCTGTGCTTTTCCTACTACGACAAGTTAAAATATCTGCTGTGAAAAAGGACTATTAGTTGCTATAGTGAGAGTAGGGTGGTATGCAACGAGGCCTGCAAGGTGAGTGAATAAAAATATGTACAGTATGGGAGCATATCTAGTGACATAACTTTATGGAATGTTATTGGTTACATCTTTTTTATCTGCAGTCCAGATTATATTTGGGCCTGCACTACTGTAGCGTGTTAAAGCACCACTGTGTGTAGCAGCTGTTAATCAAGTCAGGTTATTTGCTCCTGTTGGAGCTGACAAATGAATGGAACTTTGATTCTGACTCTAATTACACGCTGATTAAGTTTTATGACACTGTGAACCTCATTCAAAACCACACTGTTAATTACAGAGGAGTGAATTAGAAAAGGCTGATATACAATATTAATCATCCTCTAAATTTCTTTATTATTCTTGTGGTTCAGGATGGATCAATCAATATTCCAGATGTGAACTCTTTTACAAGTTCTTTGTAGTGTTCTCTTTGATCATTTCAGAGACCAGCGAGAAAACTTGTATTATTAAACACTAACAATCACAAAGTGCACATATGCACTCGAGATATCTGTGCACACACCTAGCTTTATGCGATTCAAGTTGAGTCACTTTCTGCTGCATCTCCTGCCATCAAGTCCCTGCTGACGTCTTTCCATTCCGCTCACTCACTCTCTCTCTCCTTCCCTTGCTGTTGTCTCATCATTCTGCTCCTCCACAGTCACTTCCTCTCCCTTATTATATTTCTATTCGACGGTATAGGCCCTGTCTAGAGCCACAGGCACTTCATTTTTTGTGATCAATCTCTGCGTCACACCAGAGGTGCTGTCGCAGTGCTGCATTCTGGGCAATTAAACGTCAACCGGCAGCAATGGTGTTTAGGATTAAAGCTATAATCAATGCTGGTGTTTATTAATATCACATTCGCCATACAGAGAGGAAAAGAACTCAGACGGGAGGGGGTTGTTCGATTGACCACACTGAAATGCCACCTACAGTTTTAATGAATATCAATTATAAACTCTGTGTGTCCAGAATGATTCTCCCTGTGGCTGTGAACACACCTGCATGTGACTGATGATTCACCAGGCCCATGCAGGACAAGACAGAATGGGAAAAGCTTCTGTGGCATCATAGCAGCTTTATCTATGGAAGTAAGTGGAAGTACACAAGCTACCACCACTGCAGTGGTAGTTCACTTGTCATATTTAACAGATTTTAGCAGCTTTTGTAAATGTTGAAAGAATAAATAAATAAATAATAAATAAATAAATGTTTTGCTGAAAAATATGACAAGTCAAGTCTGTTACATGTTGACATATATTTATCAAAACCACCCTAAAAGCAGCACTGTTGTTTAAAAACTGCTGTAAGACATCAGTGAGTTACATGTGCACTGGGTGACATGTTCTTTCATTATTATGCAAACACAGTACAGCGTCCTTTTCTAAAATACTCACTACTCGAGACAAATGACTCGAAATAATTTCAATATTTTAAATCAAATATTTGCATTTTTCTAGATATTGTTTTTGAAACACAATTGGGTGATTTCTAGTGCAATGTGTGCAAACCTGGCAACCTAAGAGAACATGGCAGACCAGCAGAGAGAAACACAAGTCACAGGGTGCAGCTATCATGGAAGGGCCTAGTTCAAAAATAAAACAATTTGGATTTGAGGATTATGTTGTCAATGATGGCAGTAAGAAAAGAACAGTGCTACCCAAAGTCTGCAGTGCAAAAATCAACGACATATCAACCACAGCACCCAACTTCATCACACAACTCAAAGGATTGTACATGTTAGCTAACCTATTGGCTGGTCAAACATTAGCTGGAAAGCTAACCTTAATTTTAAGCAGTTAGACTTTGCTTCGAATTGATTATGCATTATTTGAGAGGAGTTTCTGATAGCCATGAAAGGCTAAGGGTTAGTTTATAGCCTACAAATGGACAACTATTAATCAGAAGAGATGTGGGAACATTTCACTTGAATACATTCATTCCCATAACATTATCAGATCATCATTATTTTGTATGACTTGACATGTGACTTGCTTGGCTTATAGTAGGGACTCGACTTGACTTGTTTGATTCTCACCACAGTAATGTGCACACTTGCACTCCCACCTCTGATGTTTACAAAAGTCACATGTTTAGGATCTTATAGCTAAAGTCATAGCTCATTTCAGACTAATGTTTTAAGACTGAGTCATATCCAGTACTGTAAGCTACTGACATTCATGTAAGGGAGTGGTTACTGACCAAGGTCAATTCAGTCATCTGCTAAAAGGCGATGACTGAATCGATCGACATTATGAAGCAGACTGCTTCATAATGCCAGTGTAGCTGCACCTCACTGGACTATGCACTGGAGAGTGCAACACATTAGTCAAGTGAAATAGCAGTCTAAAGGTTCTGCAACATAATCTGTAGTAATGTTGCCTAATAAACTTGTTAAGTCTGTAAAATGAGTTACACAGTAACTAACAAATAGTAAAAAGATTAAGTAAGAAAAACAAACTACAGAACTACTAATAGTTATTCTCCCTCTCTACTGTGCTGCCTTAGAAATAGTCCATTTGCAAGCAGATTTAAAAGCTATTTAAAGTACATCACTTGGCAAGTGGTAATTGATGGATCAAATCCCCTGTCTTCTTTAGATCACACTAATAACTCCAAGAAAATCTGACTTTTTCTTCATTTCTCTTTCTATCCGTTTGTGCAAGGTGACTGTGATGTACATAAGAAATTTCTCTCTGAAGTGTTAGATATTTTTAGTCAGATAGATACTGGATAGATACTTTATGTATTAGAAATGTTAGTGGAGAGAGGATGTCTAGTTAGACTGTTAAATGCTTAGGC